GGGGAGGAAGAAAGAAGGGGGGGAGGAAGAAAGAAGGGGGGGAGGAAGAAAGAAGGGGGGGAGGAAGAAGGGGAGAGGAAGAAGGGGAGAGGAAGAAAGGGAAGAAAACAAGGGACGAGAGCTCACCTGCCCTCCTACCCCACCAACCCCCTCACTGGCTGCTTCTCTGCTGGTGGTTGGATGGAGAAAGTGGCATCACCTGGGGCTGGACCTTGGGACAACACTCAGGAGAGAAGCTGCTGCTGAGCCCTGCTGTAAAAAACCCACCCCCAAAGCCAGGTTGGGGGGGGTTTATTGGGTTCACCAGAGCCAGGCTTTGGGGGTGGGTGTTAGAAGGACCACCACTCAGCTGCTCCTCCTCAAGGGCCCTTCCCAGCAAGCTGGGAGATGCTCTGGGCTTCCCCCCACCTGCCTTGGGGTGCTCCCTTCTAATTCCCATTGGGATCCTGGAAAAGGGATGCAGGATAGGGCACCGAGGGGGTCTCTGAGGGATTCCCTGCTCCCCTGGGCTGCTGCTCAGCTTTGTGCCCAACCTCCAGCTCCCGGGGGGCTCCTAAAGCCCCCGGTGTCCCCAAACTTCTCCCAGCCCACCAACCTTAGGCAGGGCTGAGTCCTCCCCGCAGCTGGGGGATGCGGGAGTTCAACCTCGCAATTAGCCCCAGGGCTAATTACTCCTGCTAAGGCTAATGAACCCAGGCGTGAGGAGCCTTTTTCAGCCCTCCCCGAGCTCTGCAGCCTCCCGGCAGCTCTGAACGCAGCATCCAGGCTCGGGAATGATGGTGATGGGGGGGTGGGATAAAGGCAGGGAGCATCCTCCCCGGGACCGACACCCACCCACCCCCGGGACCGACACCCACGCACCCACCCGCGCGTGGGGGGGGGGCCCTGCGGCCCCTCCGGGAGCTTTGAAGGGACTAATGAGCCCAAACCCCTCGGCTTTTAGGCAGCAATAAAAAGCCACCCGCTCACCCATCCCATCCCATCCCACGGGGGGCGGCGGGGGGGGG